ATTTGTTGATGATAGCCATTCTGACAGGTGTGAGATGGTACCTCATTGTCGTTTTGATTTGCATCTCTCAGATGATTAGTGACTTTGAGCATGTTTTCATATGTCTCTCGGCCTTCTCTATGTCCTCTTTCAAAAAGTGTCTATTTAGGTCCGTTGCCCATTTTTTGATTGGGTTGTTTATCTTCCTTTGGTTAAGTTGTATGAGTTCCCTGTAAATGTTGGAGATTAAACCCTTATCGGTGATAACATTGGCAAATATGTTCTCCCAGTGGGAATTGCTTGGCTGAAGTTTTGCTCAAACGTGAGTGTCCACAGTCAGGCCTGGGGCAGGGGGCAGCGGGAAGTGGGGGAGCGGGTAGGGTTTCTGATAACAGCTCGTTGGCCCACCTGACCCGCTCCTGGAGCTCTGCCTCTGGCCAGGTAGTCCCCTCCCTGGGCCTCCTCATCCTCAAAAAAGGGAAGCTGATCCCACCACCCAGTCCACCAGCAGGACCCAGACTCCTCTGACCCTCGGTTCCTCTTGTAAATGGGAGAGCTGACCAAAGGGAGGAATAGCAGTGACACTGAGTCACAGTGTGGTTGTCCCAAACGCACATGTTCAGGCACCATCCTCACAGCGCTGGCCACGCGGGCATGGCTGTTATTTACCTAATTTTGTAATCAGCTTCCCTTTTTTGAACCAAAATCTATTGCAAAAGGAAATCCGGTCGTCGCGCCTTAACCGTGATAGCTGTCGCTTGCCGTCTACCCGAGGTAACTGGAAAGTGAATGCTGTCCTGGTGGATTAGAATTGGGTGCTGTGCCTGCTGGAGGCTCCGCACGGAGCCTCTCTCCTGCTTTGAAAAGGGAAAGGGGCAGGTTCCAGACGGGTGTTCAAGGAAGATGGACACCAGACCGACCCTTGGCTTTGATGTCCGTCCAGGTGCGCTGACAGCCAGCGTGGGAGGGACTTTCTGAGTCTGTGGCTCCACACTGTTTGATGCTACGCCTCCTGAGGTCTTCCCCCGTGGCGCCCCACAGAGGAGAAAGGCCGACCTAACATTTAGCAGAGTCCCTGACACCAGTGTCCACTTCCCCCAGATGCGGGGGTGTTCCGTGCTGGGCTGCAGACAGCTCAGGGCAGGCGCTCGCTCATGGCCTGGGTGGGTTGGGGGCCGGCCCAGCACCCCCCTCCAGTCCCCACCTGACCACTGCGTGTGTGTCTGCCCGCCAGCACGCCAAGCTACAACTACGCGCCCAACCCCGACAAGCACTGGATCATGCGTTACACGGGGCCCATGAAGCCCATCCACATGGAATTCACCAACATGCTCCAGCGGAAGCGCCTGCAGACCCTCATGTCCGTGGACGACTCCATGGAGACGGTAGGCCGCCACCCCCCGCACCCCCTTCCTGCTGACCCTCCCTGCCCTGCACCGTCCCGAGGGTCACCCGCTGGAGAGGAATGGGAAACGAGGCAGAACCCAGGCACCGCCCCAGGCCTGGGCGAGCGGCTGAGAACGTCCTTTCTGCCCTGGCTCCGTTCTGTTTAGCATGTGGCATGTGGGGCTAGTGCCATTTTCTTAACAGCTTTATTGAGGTACAGTTCACATACCATGCAACTCACCCCGTTAAAGCGTGCAGGTCGGTGGTTTTAACATATTTGCAAACTTGTATGGTCAGGACCACAGTCAACTTGAGGACATTTTCATCACCCCAGAAAGAAACCCCGCCGCCCTTAGCCACCCCCTCTAGCACCCCCTCACCCTTCATCCCTGGCAGCCAGCAGTCCGCTCTGTATCTGGATTTGCCTCTTCCAGACATTTCACGTGAATGGGTTCACACAGTATTTGCTCTCCTGTGACTGGCATGAGGTTTCAGTGTTCAGCCACATGGTGGCGCTATCAGAACTTCATTCCTCTTTACTGCTGAGTAATATCCCACGGTGTGGATATAGGGCACATACTCGAGTTATCCCCGACTATTTAAATTTACGTACAACACACACAATTTAAAATTCAGTCCCTCAGTCACACCAGCCACATGTCAGGTGCCCGACAGCCACCTGTGGCTGGTGGACAGGACAGAAATTAACATTGCGGCGTCACAGAAGGCACTGCTGGACACACGGTGGTGAATCGCAGGCTCCTGCCATGGCCACGTCCAACCCATTCATTCATTCGTTCATTCGTTCGTTCATCAGCATTTGTGAGCAACAAAAGTCGGCGGCGTCACAGAAGGCACTGCTGGACACACGGTGGTGGATCGCAGGCTCCTGCCACAGCCACATCCAACCCATTCATTCATTCGTTCATTCGTTCATCCGCATTTGTGAGCAACAGAAGTCACTGCTCTGATGGAGCTTACATTCTCACGCAGGGGCACACAACCCACAAATAAGTGGGAGAGAGAGAAGGCGAGGAGCCCTGTGAAGAAAAGTAAGGGACCGAGAGTGACCAGCAGTGGGGAGGCTGCAGCTATAACTGGCCCAGCCTCGGGCTGCTGGGCGGTGACGGCTGAGCGAGGCCCTGAAGCAGGGGAGGCAAGGGCCTGGGGCCTAAGACCCCGCAGCCCGGGGACGGTGGTCGGGGTCCCTCACCTGCTCGCCTGTGTCTCAGATCTACAACATGCTGGTGGAGACGGGCGAGCTGGACAACACCTACCTCGTGTACACCGCCGACCACGGCTACCACATCGGCCAGTTCGGCCTGGTGAAGGGGAAGTCCATGCCGTACGAGTTTGACATCAGGGTCCCGTTCTACGTGCGAGGCCCCAACGTGGAGGCCGGCTCGCTGTAAGTGCCCCCACCCCTGCCCCCGCTGCTCCAAAGTCCCAGGGAGACCTCGAGGTTCCGCTGACACCCAGACAGACGGGAGGCCGGCATTCAGCCGTGCAGCCCGACCACGCCCCGGTGGCTCCCGTTGGGCAGGTGAGCCTCGGTGCCAAGTGAAACAACGGTCGTGTCACTTAGGGTGGATTTTGACGCATTGTATACGCCTGTTAGGGAAGGAGGGGCCAGGAGCCGTTAGCACCTGTGAAAACAGAATGTTTGTGGCGGGCAGTGTGCCAGGGAAGCGGAGAGCTGGCCCCTGTGCCACCAGCGGTGGGAATGCCGCCTTGATTTCTGTCTGGCTGGGAGCCCCTGGGGCTGATGGATGTCGGGAGGGATCCTGCGGCCGGGGTGAAGGGATGGGGGTGTCGTATGATCGGCTGAGCAGCTCAGGCCGCAGCGCAGAGGTAAACTGGCTCCCCTGCCATCCTTCCTCGGGGACCACGTGGCCCTCGGCCAGCCTTCTCCGTGGGTTAGCCTTTGGGATGCCATGTCTGCCAGCCAGAAAGGCCACGTCGGGGGCAGGAGAGGTGGGAGGCCGGGAATCTCAGCAGCAGCCTCCCCGGATCCACGGGCACCTCAGGGACACCAACTGAGTGGCTCTTTGAGATGCAGATGAGTTGCCATTAAGTCACTTACTTGGTCCGACTTCCACCGGAGCCCGGAGCCGGACAGGACCCACGGCACCGACCGGGCTCGCTGCGGAATCCTCCTGGAAGGTGCGGCCTTGCCCGGCAGGGACTGAGACGTCCCGCCGCTGTGGACGCCTGGGGGCCGTTTCCGGAGGCAGGCCAGCCTCATCCCTCTTCCTCTGCCGACCGCACCACATCCCTCCCCGTCCTTGGTCTCAGGGTCCCCACCTGTCATCGGAGCTATAATAGTAGCTGTGTTTCTGTAGCGCTCATTCCTCGGGCCCAGGGCTAAGCACTTACACCCCTGTGTTCCTTTGAGCATAACAGCAACCCTGTGAGGTAGAGGCTGTTCTCACCCCTTTTATACCTCAGGAAACTGAGGCCCCGCGGTTGCATTGCCCGGGGTCACGTGCTCCTGTCTGCCACTCCATGCTCCCTCAGAAACCCTGCGCCACCCTGTGAATAGGAAGAATGAGGCCTGCCAGGGCTCTGTAGGCACTGGCATTACGGGTTTGGTTGGCCTCCGAGTCTGTGATCCGGTTCACGGGACCCCAAACCACAACCCCACGCAGACAAAACAGAGAGTGGACCAATGTCAGGTTTGGGGCTGAAGACACTCGGAGTATCTGTCAGCCTGGGCTCCTTTGGTTGCAAGCAGAAGTGACCATCAAACCGGACAAGGCTAAATAAGATGAAGGGATGCAGTGACTAAAGTAACCGGGAAGTCCAAGGCCAGCTCTGGCTTCAGGCACGGCTGGATCCAGCAGCCCCACAGTCCCCGCAGGCAGCTCTCGTTTTCCATCTGTCGGCCCTATTTTATGTGAATTGGCTTCATTCTCGGGTGCGTTCTGTGGTGGCAGAGTCACCGTGACTGTCAGCCATCTGGCGACAAAACCCAACAGTGGTCTGAACAGAAGCCGGAGGATGGCAATCACTGGCCTGTCACGTGCCCCACGTCCTCGCTCACAGGTTGTGCAAGTGCAGGCGGCGGACGTGAACTCACACAGCCTTCCCCCCAGACTGTTCCCCAAGTGTCCTTGCTGGGGGCGGCTCCATGGCAGCTTGCTCCTGCAGTGAGAGATGAGGGAGACGCACTAGCAGGACAGTCTCGTAGCGGGTAACGTGAGCATGGAATGACACCAGCCGCCCTTGCTGTATTCTATTGGCTTGGCCACAAAGGTGTGAACACCAGGGGTGGGCGTCACCGGGCCACATAGTCTGTCACAGGGTTTTTCTGGAACTAAAGGGAGAGAGGGAAAGTGCTGTGCTGGTATCTGGAGAAAGAACATTCTGGCCAGAGCAAAGGCCCTGAGGCCAGACTGTGCCTGGCTGTCAGGGGCAGCACTGGGGCCGGTGTTGCCCTCAGAGGTTCAGAGAAGGGTCCAGGGGAAGGCCCTGGGTTTGGGGTAGCTCTTAAGGGTGGGTGCCTTTTGTTCGGATATTGGGAACAGAGAAGGCATTCCTGGCTGAAGAGACAGCCAGGTGTGGCCTGTGAATCCAGCCCCTGTGTGTGTCTGGGGCACAGAGGTAAGGGGGTTGCGGGGGGAGGGTTCAGGTGAATTGGGCCACAGAGGGGATCACTAAGGGCTGAGATTCAGGGAGTGGCACGGTCCCAGCTTCCTACCTGCAGGGCCCCAGTCCCTGGCCACCTCCAGCCGCCCCTCTCCTGAGTGATGGTCTCCCTGCCTCCCCAAGGAACCCCCACATCGTCCTCAACATCGACCTGGCCCCCACCATCCTGGACATCGCAGGGCTGGACATCCCCTCGGATATGGATGGGAAATCCATCCTGAAGCTGCTGGACACGGAGAGGCCCATGAACCGGTGAGGAGGGGAAAGGGGCGCTGGTCTCCCCCAAACCCCTGCGTAAACTTGTGGCCAAACCGTGTGGGTCTGGTGGGGGGACCTCTCCACGAGTCAGGAGCTGGGGTTCCAGGGTTCCCCACCCCGACCACTTCCCCGCCTGGGAGAGAAGGATGCCCCCTCTGAGATTCCGGCTTCCCATCTGGAATATGGCCAGGGCGACCAGTTGCAGACCCTAAATTTGTGTTCAACTTGAAACAGCAGGAATGAACACTCATGCAGCACTTCCTGTGGCCAGGCCGTGTGCTGAGCACTTGGCATGGGATTTCGTCATTTTGACCTTTATGACCCAGTGAGGTGGGCTTTATGCTGATGCCCTTTGACCAATTTGGAAATTGAATGCCAGAGAGGTTATGACTTGTCGGAGGTCTCTGGGCGGGTCTGGCTCCGGCTCCAGCTTTCAGACTCCAGACTAGAGGCTGCACTCCCAGTCGCCATGCTCTGTGCCGTTGGTGCAGATGGCGGGACGGCAATGTTCCTTGGTGTCCGGAGGCGGGGAAGGGAACAGGGATGGGGAGCAAAACTTAGGCACCTGGGAAGGTGAGTTGAGCCTGGTGGGGACAGGAAAGCAGGGGGACATAGCCACTGCTGTGGCGGCAGCGACACCTGGTGGCCAAAACTGTAACGTCCACTGGGCTCATGGCCCCAGGGAGCCGCCTATGGCGAGCTGGACGAACACTGCCCGTCCACACTGACCGCCCTGCAGGGGACCCCCTCTGCTGAGCCTTCCCTCCGACCGGGAGGCTTATAAGCTGCATGGGTGTGGACTGGGCAGGTGGGAGGAGCAGGGTACCTGGGAGTCAGTGCAGGATGGAAGCTGCCGCAGCCTGAGCCCGTCTGGGAAATGGAAACGAGAGTGACCCACCATCAAGTGCAGTTAAATTCCCCAAATCCAGCTACAGAGGGTCCAGGAGGGAATCCTTCAAAACACAATGCGAGTCCCCCCAAGTCAGGCAGCCTCGCCACCCGGTGCTGCCTAAGGGAGTTGCACACACGTGACTGAGTGTAACTTCCGCCCGGGAGGGTGGGGCATCAAAGCCTTTCCCGTCCCTGCTCATCCCGTCTTCCCCTGGGACCCCAGGGTCTGTGCTGGCTGGGAACCAAGGCGGCTCTGGGCACCGATCCTGCTCCTGGGAGAAGGGGGCGGGGATATGTGAGGCCCCCACATTGATGAGAAGTTGGAGGTGTGCTTTTCCCCCAGGTTTCACTTGAAAAAGAAGATGAGGGTCTGGCGGGACTCCTTCCTGGTAGAGAGAGGGTGAGTGCTGGGTCCTGAGGAACCACCCAGGTCCCCCCACATCCCAGGCAGCTTCTGGCAGCCCCCTGCACCCATGGTGGCACCCATGGTGTGAAAGTTCTCACTGTTGCGGGGGGGGGGCTGTTGTTATCATACCTTCCCACGGTGCCTGGCACTCGTGTCCGTGGCCTCAGCCACGAAAGCGCATCTGCTGTTCCTGTGGTTGGCGCAGCTTTTGCATCTGGAGGCCACGTTTGGTGCTGCCTGCACAGTGTCCGTTTATTGCCAGCGCATGCACTTGGGGAGGTTTCTTACAGAAACCCCCACTTCTTAAGTCCCTTAACGATCGGGAGAGTAGCCAGGCTGGACCTGCACGCTCCAGCCTGGACCAGGCTGGCGCCACACTTGTCGGCAGGCCACACGCTCCTCCAGAGCCGGGAGGCCAGCCCTGGGTCCCGTTCTCTGCCCCACAGCAAGCTGCTCCACAAGAGGGACAGTGACAAGGCGGACGCCCAGGAGAACTTCCTGCCCAAGTACCAGCGCGTGAAAGACCTGTGCCAGCGGGCCGAGTACCAGACCGCGTGCGAGCAGCTGGGACAGGTGAGGCGGCGGGGCTCAGCCCTGGGGCTGGGACAGGTGCCCCTGCATCCTTCCTTCCCTCCCAATGGCTGCCCCTCTAAACGTGACCCAGGCCTGCTCCTCAGGCACTGTTCTAGGCACCGTGGCAACAACCTCGAATGCCATCCACAGAAAGGGCGCCCTCCTGCAGCTGGCGTTCTGGGGAGAGCTCGGCCTTGGGTTAATGCCAAGAGCCCACAAGTGGTTCTGAGCTACGAGGAACAGCCAATGAGGCCAGGGAGCCTTTGCCCCCCCCCCCCCATTGTTGTCAAATCCTATGCCCCAGGTTAAACGTCAGGCGAACCCGGGCGGGGGAGGGGCATGCATCTGCAATTCAGAACAGATCATTAGAGCACGGCTTAGCTGCACAGAGAAGAGACCCGAGGTGGGGTGCGGGCCCAGACCAGCTGGGGAAGCCCCCGTCTATGGCCCCTGGGCCTGTAGCTCTAGGGCCTCCAGGATCCCTGTCCAGATGTCCACCCACTGGGAGTGCAGTCCTAATCCTGCTGGGCCAGCCGCCCCCTCAGTGCTGTGGCCTCGCCAAGCTCAGCTGCGCCTTCTAGGAACGCCCTTCCATGCATGTGCGTCCTGCGACGGGCTCACAGCCACAGCCATGCAGTGCCCCCTCGGTGCCATTTCTGTACTTCTGTAGTCAACACGTGTCTGTCCTAGAGTAGTTCCAGGAACGCAGCCCTTGGGAGCCCATGTCCCTACAAGGGCAGGGAGGGGAGTTCTCAGGGGGGTGGGTGAGGGCAAGGGGGCAGAGTGGACGGCTGGCTCGGAGCCTGAGGCCTCGCTGTGACTTGCAGAAGTGGCAGTGTGTGGAGGACGCCACAGGGACGCTGAAGCTGCACAAGTGTAAGGGCCCAGCGCGGCCCGGTGGCAGAGCCCTGTCCAACCTGGTGCCCAAGTACTATGGGCAGGGCGGCGAGGCCTGCACCTGCGACAGTGGCGGGGACGACCAGCTCAGCCTGGCCGGACGCCGGAAAAAGTTCTTCAAGAAGAGTGAGTGTGGGCAGTTCGGGACCGAGGGGAGGGATTGCGTAGCCCCATTCGCTCATTGAAATAATTCCACGGGCACTCACAAGAGCCAGGGGGCTGGGGACACAGCCAAGCCCCCGAGGATCCTCTGGCCCCGTGGGGAAGGGCAGGAATAGAGAGAGAACGGGAGAGCTGAGTGCTGTGAAGATGGGATGTAGAGGGAGGAGGGGCGGTGGATGCCAGGGGCCCATCACGTCATAGCGCAGGTTCTCAGACAGAAGGAGCCAAGATCAGGTTTGTGTTTTCAAGGACCGTCTGGGCTGGGAGGGGCGGCAGCGGCAGCAGGGGACCTGTCTGAGCCTGGCCACAGGGAGGAGGGGGTGGACTCTGGAAGGGACTTAGAAGCTCATTAGGGCAGGCTGACGGGCCGGTCCTCGCTGCTCATGGAGTCCGTGTTTGCAAGTTCGCCAACCCCCTAAGCCTTATTTGTGGCCCCTAAGTCACTACTTGAGATGCTGTCAGGTCATTTGCGGGCACGTGCAGACGCAAAAACTCCAAGTCTCCCGGGTGCACGCTCCCAGGGGAGGCCGAACGAAGAGGTGCTGTCCGTCTCAGCTTCATACTCTACACAGGACCTGTTAACGTCTAGTTGGTGTTATGCTTTTCACGCCTGGGTATTTTCCCTGTGATCTCACTGTTTAACACTGCCCCCAGCAGTGCCGAGGTGCTGGCGTGTTCCTGAGTGCAGGGAGGCTGTGACACGCCTTATGGAGAAAGTGCGTGGGGCAGACAAGCTTGAGTTGTAGCTCTGGTGGCCATGAGCTCAATGTTAACGAATCAACAGCACATCCTATATAATAAAAGGCTAATATGCAAATAGACCTAACGTTGGAACGACTGGTCGCTATGACACACACTGACCACCAGGGGGCATACAACACAGGAACTGCCCCTTGGTGGTCAGTGCGCTCCCACAGGGGGAGCACCACTCAGCCACAAGCCGGGCTGATGGCTGGTAAGCGCAGCAGTAGTGGCGGGAGCCTCTCCAGCCTCCGTGGCAGCGCTGAGGATGTCTGACTGCAGCTTGGGGCCATTCCCTGCAGTCGGATAGCCCCCGAGGGCTCCCAGACTGCTAAAGGGCGCAGGCCGGGCTGAGGGACCCCCCCCCCATCCCCAGTGCACGAATGTCGTGCACCGGGCCTCTAGTATTTTATTAAATAAGGTGTCATTAGCCCTGGCTGGTTTTTCTCAGTGGTTAGAGCATCGGCCCATGGACCGAAGGTTCACAGGTTCAATTCCCAGTCAAGGGCTTGTACCTCAGTTGCAGGTTCAATCCCTGACCCTGGGTCGGGGTGCAAGTGGAAGGCAACCAATGGATGTCTGTCTGTCTTCCCTTCTCCTCTCTCTCTTCCACTCTCTAAAAAATCAATGGAAAAAATATCCTCAAGTGAGGATTAAAATAATAATGTTATGTGAGCAGAGGTTCCCAGGAATCCAGCCCCGCATTGCCCCTGGAAGCAGGGTTTACTGCCTGCTAGTTCTGTGTTCTTGGTGGCTTTACAGAACATAGTTACTGCAGATGACAATGGGCTGTTTTGGAGTGGGGAAAGGCACCTCACCCAGCAGGGGCTGGCGGACAGGCAGTTAGAGAGCCAGCGCGGGGGGAGCAGACGTCCTCTGGACATGGCTGGAAGACTCAGCTGTCACCCGAGCTGGTCACGGCCCCCCACCGAGCTCAGCTGCCAGGGGAAGAGTGACGTCTGCCTGTCGTCCACATGGGAGTGCGCCTGTGCTTTCAAAGTGCCCAGCCGCTCCATGCCTGCAGCGGGTGCTGAAGAATGTGCCGGTTCTGTTGTGTGTATCCTCCAGAGAGCCTTGTAAAGCAGGTTCCCTCGCAAGAACACAGCTCATGGCCCGTGGTGGCCGCCCCTTGGCTCAGGATTCACCCGAGCCATTAGATTCCAGAGCCTAAGGCAGGGGTCCTCAAACTGCGGCCCGCCGAAAACATTTATCCGGCCCGCCGGGTGTTTTTGCCGCCGCTGCCTGTCCTGCTTAGCAGCCGACTCGTCTCAGGCCCGCAGTGCGCATGTGTGGAATGTCTGAGGGACAGTGAACTGGCCCCCTGTTTAAAAAGTTTGAGGACCTCTGTTTTAGATGCGATAAGGGTTCCCAGGACGCCTTGAAGGGAGGGCAGCTCAGGGGCCCTGGAAACAGACGGGAGGGTGACATGGAGAGTGAGTGGCATGGCTTCAGTCCAGGGAAAGGTTGACATGGGCTGGCCAACCTCTTCTGTGAAGGGCCAGAGAGTAAATATTTGAGGCTTTGCAGGCTAAACGGTCTCAGCCTCAAATACCCAAATCTGTCACTGTCCAAGCAAACGCCCTGGGACCAGATGAGTGGCTTATTTAAGCATCAGGCAGAAGGCCAGATAGTTGGAGGACCCCTGGGCTTGTGGCTGGAGGTGGAGGGTGGGAACATACAAGGCAGCTGGCTCTGGGCAAGCAAGACAAAGGCAGAGAGAACCCGGGGGTGTAGTGCATGGCCCCAGGCAGGTGACCTGTTCCCACAGGGAGGTCCGCTCAGTACCTGTGCACCAGGGGCCCGGCCCGCGGCTTCAGGGAGACTGAACTCAGGAGGGGAAAGCCAGGGAGAAAGCTGCCCAGGCCCAGCAAAGGCCCCAGGCTTTCCTGAAGAGGCAGTGCCTCTCCTGAACTTGGGCCCTAGATCCTTTGATTCACGGAGTTTGAAAAATGAAAGGTGCCAACATCTGTCCCCAGAGAGGGGGCAGCAAGACCAGATCTGGAAGCCTGGGGCCACTTGGGAGCAGGAATCCCCTCCTCCCTTCCGCCAGCCTCCACCCAGTCCTCGGGCTTTGGGCGCCACCTGGTGGTCATATGGAGCCAAACAGAAACCTGAGCTGTGACTGGCTCCAGGCCCTTCTCTAAAAAACAATGGCCAGCCCTGCCTGGTTTGGCTCAGTGGATACAGCCTCGGCCTGTGGACTGAAGGGTCCCAGGTTCGATTCCAGTCAAGGGCATGTACCTTGGTTGCGGGCACATCCCCAGTAGGGGTTGTGCAGGAGGCAGCTAAATCGATGTTTCTAACTATCTCTCTTCCTCTCCCTTCCTCTCTGTAAAAAATCAATAAAATATATTTTTAAAAAAACAATGGCCATCTAGGGCAGCAGGGGTTTCGGACTTCGTGATGTGCAGTTTTAAAGCAGAAAGGAGTGGTGGGGGCCAGGGCCAAATTGAGAACATACTGCCACGTCTACAGGGGCAGCATGTCAGCTCCTGCCAGGGGCGGCCTGTGGACCAGGCAGGCAAGCCCATCCGGTTCTCTTCAGAGGCTGGGAATCTGCACTCCTCCGTGACCACCACCCCCTTTTTCTTAGTGTTAGCGATGTGACGCTACAGATCTGAGCTCTGACGTTAGCCTGAATGCCCTCGGTGTTCAGCAGCTTAGAGCTTAGAAAAAGCACCTTCCAGTCCCAGCTCACGGCCCACCCGGTAGGAGCAGCATCTGGCTCTCAGCTGGGAAAACTGGGACTCAGGGAAGCTAAGTGCCCTCCCCAAGCCGCTCCCTTTTCCATCCGGAAGACTGTGCAGCCTGGCTTTTGTTTTTCCAATTCAAATCCATGGGTTTTGTTTTTTGTGTTTCATTGCGCTATAACTGACAAAGAACATTAGTTTCAGGCTTACAACATACTGATTTGATATTTGTATATATTGCAAAATGTTCACCAAGTAAGTCCATTCACAAATACGCAACACAGTGTTATTAACTTTAGCCACCATACAGTACATCCCCAAGACTTTATAGCTGGAAGTTTGTACCCGTTGACCGACCCCCTTCACCCCCCAACCTCTGACAACCACCAGTCTGTTCTCTGTTATCTATGAGCTTGAGTTTTTGGTTTTGTGGTGGCTTTAGAATTCACCTATAAGAGCATATGGTATATCTTTATCTGACTTACTGAGTATAATGCCCTCAAGGCCCATCATATTGTAAATGGCAAGATCTACTTTTTTACGTTCCCCACTGTACATATGTATCTACCGATAGACACCTAGGTTGCTTCCATACTTGGGCTATTATAAATGATGTTGCAGTGAACATGGCGGTGCATATACCTTTTCAAGTTAGCGTTCTCATTTTCTTTGGATAAATATTGAGACGTGGAGTTGCTGGGTTAACTGGTAGTTCTATTTAATTTTTTGAGGAACCTCCATACTATTTTCCATAGTGGCTGCACCAGTTTACATTCCCACCAATCATGCATGAGGGCTCCCTTTTCTCCACATCCTCACCAACACTTATTTGACTGTTTAATAACAGCCATTCTAACAGGTATGAGGTGATGTTTCATTGTGGTTTTGATTTGCATTTCCCTGATGGGCAGTGATGCTGAGCACATTTTCATGTGTCTGTTTGGCCATCTGTATGCCTTCTTCAGAAAAATGTCTATTCAGGTCCTCTGCCTATTTTTAAATCAGGTTGTCCTTTTACTCTTGAGTTGTATGAGTCATGTATATATGTGTGTGTGTGTGTGTGTGTATTACAGATACATTTTTAAATTTATTTCAGTGAGGAAGGGAGAAGGAGAGATAGAAACATCAAGGAAGGGAGAGAATCCTTGATCAGCTGCCTCCTGCACGCCCCCTACTGGGGATCGAGCCTGCAACCTAGGCATGTGCCCTTGACCAGAATCAAACCCAGGACCCTTGAGTCCACAAGCTGACGCTCTACCCACTGAACCAAACCAGCTAGGGCTGTATAAGTCTTCATACATTTTTTGATATTAACCCCTTATCAGATAATTTTTATTATAAATGGATGTTGGATTTTGTCAAATGCTTTTTCTGTATCTACTGAGATCATATGATTGTTAGCCTTCATTTTGTTAATGTGGTGTATCACATTGATTTGCTGGTATTAAACCATCCTTGCATCCCTAGAAAAATCCCATTGATCATAGTGTGTGATTATTTAATGTATTGTTGAATTCAGTCTGCTAATATTTTGTTGAGTATTCTTGCATTGTGTTCATCAGGGATACTGCCCTGTAACTTTGTGTGTGGCGCCATTTGGTTTGAGCATCAGAATAATGTTGGCCTCGTAAAGTGAGTCTGTAGTGTTCCCTCTTCTACTTTTTGGACAGGTTTGTTCTTACTTCTTTTGAATGTTTGGTGGAATTCACCAGTGAAGCTGTCTGGTCCTGGACTTCTGTTCCTTGGGAGGTTTCTGATTACTGGTTCAATCTCCTATATGTTTTTATATCCACTTTACTTCTTTTTTAATTGAGGTGAAGTTCACAGGATATAAAATTTATCATTTTTTACAATTGTAAAGTATACAATTCAGAAGCATTTAATGCACTCACAATGTAGTGCAACCACCGCCTCTAGTTCTGACACATTCCCACTGCCCCAAAAGGAAACCCTAACCCTCTCCCCCATCCCAGGGCAACCACTAATCTGCTGTGTTTCGGTCTTTACCTATTCTGTGTATAGACTCATACAGTATGTGACCATTTGTGTCTGGGTCCTTCCACACAGCATAGTGTTTTGGACATTCCATCTGCATGTATTATCGCTTCATCCCTTTATGGCCAAATACTCCATGGTATGGATGCACCAGTTTGTCCAGTCATAGCTCTTTCTTGAGATTACCTTATGCCAATTCCTTCTTAGCTCTAGGACTTCCGTTTCCCCAGTTAACTCGCCTTGAGTCCTTCCCACTGGGGTCCAAGTCCTGCTTCCTGGGTGGCAGGTTTCCTGAGCCTGCAAGTCTCAGGCAACACGGAGCCTCTTGATTGGGTACTGTGGCACCACCCAGATCAAGGGTCTGCTGCCCAGGGCGCCCTGCCAGCCTTCCAGGCCCTCCTGACCTACCTACCCTCTGATGCCCACAGAGTACAAGGCCAGCTATACCCGTAATCGCTCCATTCGCTCAGTGGCCATCGAGGTGGACGGCCAGGTGCACCATGTAAGTCTGGATGAGGCATCCCAGCCCCGCAACCTTACCAAGCGGCACTGGCCAGAGGACCAAGATGACAAGGACGGCGGGGACTTCAGTGGCACTGGAGGCCTTCCGGACTCTTCAGTCCCCAACCCCATTAAAGTCACACATCGGTGAGAGTCCAGGCAGAGGTTGGGGGTAAAAGGGACAGGCTGGGCCCTCCTCACCCCCTCAAGGCCACACATCACGTGATCCCTTCTCTCGAGCAGGTGCTACATCCTAGAGAATGACACGGTGCAGTGTGACCTGGACCTGTACAAGTCCCTGCAGGCCTGGAAAGACCACAAGCTGCACATCGACCATGAGGTGACCCTGGTCTGGGCAGGGAGCAGTTCTCACCACACTGGGGGTGGGGGGGAGGGGGTGAACCCAGGCCCAGGGGAGAGAGGTCCCCACAGAACATGGGAAAATTACTCCGTTTCTTTGCTGTGAGTCTGGTAACTTCAGGTGGAGCCAGGGAGCCCCCTCTGCACCCACAAATGTGGGCAGTGGCCAAGGGCCACCCCTTCTCACCCAGCAACACCCCCCCGCCGAGTTTCACAGCCTCCTCTCTCACTCAGATCGAAACCCTGCAGAACAAAATTAAGAACCTGAGGGAAGTCCGAGGTCACCTGAAGAAAAAGCGGCCAGAAGAATGTGACTGTCACAAAATCAGGTGAGGAGGCAGCAAAGGGCCCCCAGGAAGGTCCCTAGCCGTCATGTAGGACCACTCCTGGGAACACAGCATCCCTCTGTGACTCCTTTCATTACTTTTACCGCCTTAAGGCCCAGGGGAGAGACACCAAGGCTGCCCTTCCTGTCTGCTCCCTCAGGGTAAAGACAATCAGTCATTCACATCCCCACTGTCAGCCACTGGCACATACCCTGCACCCCTCCCCCGCCCTAGCCAGCCAGCCGTCCAGACTCATGCACTGCGGACAGGCAGGCTGCTGCTAGGGAAGCTGGCTCCCAGGAGGGAGAGGGCCTCTGTGGATTGCTCCTCAGGAATCCCATGTGGCTGGAGGTCCCATTACCAGCCCAGGGTACCCTTGGCCCAAGGGTCTGCACTCCAAGAGCAGCACTGTCCAAGATAACTTCTGTGATGATGGAAATGCTTGTATCTGCTGGCCAGTATGGGGGCCACCAACCACGTGTAAGCACTTAAAATGTGACAGTGTAACTGAGGAACTGAATTTATAGTTTTGTTTAAACTGAAATAGCTACATGTGGCTACTGTACCAGACAGCCCAACTGTAGCATCTCGGCTACAGTCCCACAAAGGGGTTGTAAAACATGGGTGCCCCCAGGGCTGGCCGCGTCCTGACCAAGCCTGAGGTGGGCGGGGGGTGGGGACAACCACCTGGTGATGCGGAGGCTGAAGCCACACAAGCCAGGCACAGCTTCCAGCCTAGGCTGACGTACACCTATCCCAAGCTTCTCTGTGTGGCCCAAGCCTCCAGCTAGGGGGTTCCCAGCTCACACTTGCAGGAAGGAGCCAGGCAGGCAGGGAGCTGCCGCACTGGCGAGATACCCTCCTGTCACTGCATCAGAAAGAGGGACCGTCCGGAACCACACTTTGTACCCACCCAGGAGAACTGTTCTGTAAGCAGCTTCTGAAACCTGGGGTTTGGGTTCTGTTCCAGTTACCACACCCAGCACAAAGGCCGTCTCAAGCACAAAGGCTCCAGTCTGCATCCTTTCAGGTAAGGGTGGCTTAAGACCCGGGGGGAGAGAGACAGAGGCTGCCCTTCCTTAGGCTAAAACAAGGAAAAGTAGTCCTGGCCTTTCCCTGGGAAGCTCAGGACTGACTCCCAGATCAACAGAGGTCTCCAGTAACCACCACCCCCCCCACCCCCCCGGTGGCTGGAGTGGTTACTGCAACCCACCATGCAGGTGGGACACAGGCCCAAGAAACTGGTGTGAGCCGGAGTCCCAGCTGCCTCCTAATTCTCTCCACCTCTGTGCTGCCTCGGAACTGTAGTGGGACTTGGGGGTCCCTCTAGGGCTGTGCTCACAGCTCTCTGGCAAGAGGAGCAGAGGTTCAGGGTCAGTGGCCCCTAGGAGGCTCCAAGGTGGGGAGGCCAAGAGAGGTGTGGCCCTATTTGCCCACAGGAAGGGGCTGCAGGAGAAAGACAAGGTGTGGCTGTTGCGGGAGCAGAAGCGCAAGAAGAAACTTCGCAAGCTGCTCAAACGCCTGCAGAACAACGACACGTGCAGCATGCCTGGCCTCACATGCTTCACCCACGACAACCAGCACTGGCAGACCGCGCCTCTCTGGACACGTGAGCAAGCCCGGGGCCGGCCGGCAGGGCAGCTTGGGCCACAGGGGCTTCTCCAGGACCTCAGCTTGGCCCCTTGCCAGACCCTACAGGTCTTTCGGGAACAGGTTCCCTGACAACATCAGGGGTCAGCAAGTGCTCCCAACAGGCCATGGCTCAGGGGGCCGTCCTGGACAGGAATTCCTGCTGGCAGACTGGGTTTCCTCCTGCAGGCACACTCAGGGCACGCTCTCTTCCCTTGGCAGTGGGGCCCTTCTGTGCCTGCACCAGCGCCAACAACAACACGTACTGGTGCATGAGGACAATCAACGAGACCCACAACTTCCTCTTCTGTGAATTTGCAACCGGCTTCCTCGAGTACTTTGATCTCAACACAGACCCCTACCAGGTACAGACAACCCACGCTGGAGAGAGATGCATGGGGTTCAGAGGTGCTGGCATGAGGCCCCCATGCAGAAGCGATAAGTTATCGCTTATCGATAAGAGTCTCTAAGCCAGAAGTGAGTTGTGAAGCCCCGGAGAACTTCAGGGCTCCATCTTCCTGCATCTGCAACCTAGACCTTATTACAGCCTCTTCCCTAGCGAGGTTAACGCGGGCTGTGTGGGAACTTGTGAAGGTTCCTGGACTGTAGGGTCCTCAGGGCCAGGCCAAACCCTGTTGGGTGCCTGCAGGGACAATAGCAAACACTCATGCAGCACTTCCTGTGTGTCAGCTGCTTCCGTATATTAAATCACCTGTGGCCCAAAACACGTAAGACAAAGAGGAGCCACAGAGTCTGGTGAGTGGAACCAGCATGTCTTACCTCAACGGACAGTCACTACTGAGCTCAGCACTACAGCTTCTCAGCAGTGTGGCCTTGGCACCCGCTGGTCTCCAGTGTTCCAAGAGAAGGCTGAAGTCAACTTTTTACATGAAACCTGACTTTTAAATGCCAGCCATTCTATGGTCTGCCAGTCTTTCTCCTTAGGTAGGTCATCCCTGTGTTTACAAAAGGGCTTGGCAGAGCATGTAGGTTACTCAGTCATCGGTAGCTCCCAGACTAGGCAGGGACCCAGGGACTGATGGAAGGCTGCTTAAAGGCACAGTTTCCTAACCAGTGGCTCCAGGAGCTCAGTGTTAAGCACACAGGTGGTTTTACACTCATGAGTTTTTATCCTCATGAAATGAGAGCCTGATGGGGCTAGAGGCAAAAAGGAGTCCTAACTGTTCCAAACTGGCTCCTGCAGAAGCAAAGGTTACCACCCCATAGCACCTGCTACTCCCGACCTGCCTGCAGTCAGTGCCCTGGTTGGGAACAGAGGTGGGGGTGGGGGGCCAGCACTCACCGGGCTGATAACCCACCTTCCTTCCAACCAGCTGATGAATGCAGTGAATACACTGGACAGGGATGTCCTCAATCAGCTACATGTACAGCTCATGGAGCTGAGGAGTTGCAAGGGTTACAAGCAGTGTAACCCCCGGACGCGCAACATGGACCTGGGTGAGTAGACGCCCATCGCGGGGCCCGTAACCCGGCAGGAAGGAGTTTGGGTTCACTCTGACCCGAAAAGTGCACCTAGAATCACCAGGAGTTGATGAATTCTCACCATGGCTAAAAGTCACCTTCCCAACATCCACCAAGTGCTGCTGTCCTCGTCATACGTGCCAGCCGCTGTGCTGATGACCCTGTGACAACCCTCTGAGGTACACCTGGCTGTCCTCACTGTATGGATAAGTAGAGTGACTGGCTGGCTGACTCCAAAGCCCACGCACTTGGTCACACTACCATATCCTCTAGGGGACTTGCCAAGAGCAGCACACGAACCTCCCACCACCTGCCTTTCTCAGGGCCCTTGGCTTTCTGTAGTATAGGTGTTTGTGCCTGTATCTGCCTCCCCCACCATGACCAAGGTCAGTGTTGAAGGAATGCATCAGGAAAGCTCACCTAATCAGCCCACTCTGCCTGCCTAGGGAACACTGTCAACACCATGGGTTTGTGACGAAATGCCTTCAGTGTTTAAAAAAAAAAAAAAGCAGTTATAAAATTCTTCATTGCTTGTTCCATACTTACTCTAAATTCACTGTTTCTATTTTGTTCATTTCTCTTGTTTAGGACTTAAAGATGGAGGAAGCTATGAACAGTACAGGTATTTGGTTTTGTTTCTAAAGCCTCAGAATGGTCCCATGTCGAGGCCCATCCTTTAGTCTAACCTCTGTGACTGCCCTTTCTCTGGTCTGCCAGGGGCCTGGATCGCCCACCAGTAATAGGTGTCACCTAAGAGACCATCTTTTTATTGTTCTTTGGGGGTAACTCTTTCTTTCTTGGTGATGGTTAACACTCATTCTCCTTTTGACACTTGAAAACTTAGGCAGTTTCAGCGTCGAAAGTGGCCAGAAATGAAGAGACCTTCTTCCAAATCGCTGTGAGTTGAGGAACCAGTTTACAAATAGAGACCTGGTTCTGGCTTGCTTCGTTTTGCCAAGGCTATTCTGTGTGCATGCCAATTCTTACATATTACTCTCATTTGTTCCTACAATGAGAGGGGAAACAGTACTGTACGTCTTTCCTGTGAAGTAACATCCTTGAGTACATTTCATGTTTTAGGTTAATATCTTGTCTATATACACTGTTGTTCTCTACAAATAATCTGTGCCTGCTAAACTCAAGGCATTCCTTAGAAGATGAGAAGCACTTAAATATTGTAACTGCCAGACACCTTGAAGGCTGTGGCTGCAGAAGTGTTACCTGGTCCTTATATAACATCAGCTGGGCAGCTTCATTAAATCATTACCAAAATGTCCGTGCTGCACCCTCCAGTGCTAATAGAGGCTGGCAGGGGGCTGAGAGACTGTTGCAACCTCGAAAGGTCACCTCTAGTCTAAAGAGAAAGGCACAAATGCAATGTAATTTAAAATCCTCTGATTCATCAGGGAAATCCAGAAACTCAAATATGTGTGAGAATTTTTTTAACATTGGCAACTAATTTGACATTAAGTTACCATGCAGACAGACAAAACGCCTTGATGAGCTGCCATTTGCAACCTCTGGCCTGTTCATTTCTTTCCTTATGTGCGGAGAAACCTATGCAGCTTTAATAGGGCCAACTAAGCATGTCTCTGGTGCTCCCAGAATTAAGGCACATAATCTTTCTCTCTCATATTCTCCTTGGCCACTATTCTACCCCTATCTTTAAATGCCAACAACTGACAATGTAGATATGAGGTGGTAGCAAGCCTGGTCTGAGGGACCTAGAAATACTCCTTCTCAGCAGCCACATCCTTGAAGCAAAGCTGGCGCAGCTGTAGGACTGAGTAATCATAGCAGCATGACAATCAATACTGAGGCAAGTCTGCTTTATTCCACAGGGGACAACTGTGGGAAGGCTGGGAAGGCTAAGCAGCATGGGATGGACCTCCCAAACAGAGGCATCATCTGACCATCCAGACAATGCAAAACCCTGTGTGATTCCAGGCAGACTATGCTGTTAGCCAGGAGACCTGAGAGACACAGAACTTGCTTTCAGTCAACATGGCAAATTCTGGAAGAGAACTACCACGAGTAGTGCTACTTCAGGAAGTCCATTTTTGCCCTTGCTTTTGCTTTGGATTGTACCTCACCAGCTGCACAAAATGCATTTTCATATCAAAGTCACCACTAACCCTCTCCAAGGCTCACAAGGGAAAAAGAACAAAGAGAGATTTTTTTTTTTAATTTCCCCAAAGGTGAAAAGTCACTGGAATATTTTTTTTAAGTCACAGGGGAAGACCAACCCTATTTTAAATCCTCTTATCTTTTGGTTTGTCACGAAGAACGAACTAAGAGGCAGGACAGAGGCAACGTGCAGATGCTGGACGGTGCACAGTCGGATAGCAAGTCAATAGCACAAAGAAGTGACACTTACCTAGCACTAGAGCCCTGGCTGCCTCTGAAGAAACGGACTTCACTGTAAATATGTGACTATTTACATGTAACCAGTGTGGAACTTAGGGGATCTAAGAAGAAACCCAGTTTTGAAGCGTGGTGGTGTCAATAAACGCTGTGGCCAGTGTGAGAGAAAAGCCCTGCAGTGTGGACAGTTCTGTTCCCAACCAGGTACCATGGCCCCTATTCCTGTGTTCTCTCTCCCAGAACCAATGTTTTCTGAAGTACTGAAAAGAAATGAAGTTGATGTACAATCCCACATTTTAATGAAGTTGTATTTGTAAAGAAATTTTGTAGTCTAAGTAGTGTCATACAATGTTCAGAACTTCAGCCAATGACCAGAAGTCAGTATGAGGTAACCTTTGACATTTTGTAAAAGGCTATTCTTGGGAGTTTTGTTTTGCTTTTTTGTGGGTTTTTTCCCCCTTGAAATCACTCAAGACACCACCAGTCAACAGCTTTTTCAAAGGAGACACCCTGGACTTGAGTGGTTTTTTAAGGGAGAACAGAGGTTACAAATTAACGACTAAAATTTACCGTATTTCAAGGAACTCACAGGTAAGTCTCACATTACACCAGCTTTAGGACCTCATTTTTAAAATGTGTTAAATCAAATGCAAAGCAATTGCTAACCCCTTTCTAACCTGAAGATAGCTGCTAGAAACAGGAGGAACCTCAGCCATCAACTGATCCAACCCATTTCTCATTCAATAGATGATCCCTTATAGCTCACCTTTTGTAAGAACAATTCCATGCTTTTCAAGATTTCTTTTTGGAACGAGTTTGAAGAGTATAATCTCCAGTTTTGCTGTTCTATTGCTGCACACAATAAGCAGCATTTGGTGGGGGGGGGGGGTTATTTTAACCTCACAGATATAGCTACTATTATTTGAAATAAGAGTCCTTAACTTTCTTTTTCACCCCTAATCCAATAAGGATTTTTCTTTAAATAAATAAAGCAAGCTCTTTGGCTTCAATTTTAAATAGAAACCTTTATTTACAATGACACCCAAATGATCCGCAAAACAGTCATAGCTTACCACACAACCATCTCATAAGTTATCCCACGTGGTCTGGAGTCTTTGCAGTTTAAAGGATGGTTTAGATTTCTTTAAAAAACAACATTTAATGTAAACTTGATTGAATTCATTCTCAACACTTTAAGTCAATTCCTGAGAATTTAAATATTGCTCTCAGAATGACATTTCCATCTTCAAAATCCCATACATTGGAAAGAGAAGAAGAGAAAGAAGGAAAAAAGAACACCCTGCTCATTAAACAGTTTGCCTTGGGCTCAACAGCAGCTCCTGCTCCTCTGCATCTCCCACTTGGGAACAAACTCATGGCTTCTGCAAATAAAAAGGGAACTGGACAGGCATATGGGTAACGGGCAATGCATTCTGTTACTTTCCAGCTGCATCTATCTCTGGATCAAAGAACTTTTAGGACAGCAAACCAATGTTCTACAGTACCTCCCCTCTACACCCGCAACTCACCTCGGGGAGTGAATAGGATTAAGCAGTCTTATTGATTGATATTTACACCTTTCCATCAAGATGTACAACTTAGAAAAGTGACATCATAATATGAACATTAACAATCTCTATTTGTTTTTTTAAAGGAAGAAACATGTACCTCCTTTATATCATTTTGATCTTTAAAAATATATTATATATATATATCTTTGGATTCAGCAAAAAAGGTATATTGGAAATATCTCACATTCTAAAAGCTGATGAAAAGATTACTTATACTGTTCACCCAACAAATACCAAGGTTTAAAAAAGTAGGGAGAGGAGAGGTAGGCAGCAGGAGTACAAAGAATTATCCAAAAAAGATAAAAGGGCAATAAAGGTTAAAAACAACAAATTATCTCAAAGATTGCATCTATTAAAAGAAAATCAGAATCTTAAGTTTGCACCAATAAAATGAACAAGTAGAAAATATAAAAACTTATAACTTTTGTTTTTTCATATAAAAAAGGGGTGCTGCCTTCGTTAGCCTGGAGCCAGGACTAAGGAAAAGAATCACAAAACTTTTTGTTCTTTTTTAAAAGTCAAGAAAGGTAAGAGCACCATTCTGTTTCTCCCACGCACACACAACTTAAACAAGAAAGGTTCAGACATACCTCACACAACTGTGTCTAAAAAGACAGACACTTAGTTATGTCTCTGTCTCCGGACAGGAGGATGTGTTATCTGAAAAGTACAGGCCACTATGATGGAAGTTCATGGATTTACAATATTAGATTTATTTTTAACGGGGCAGGAGGGAATGGGGTGTCAGATTCAAATCCATTCTAGTGGTGGTTCTGGAAATACCGATTTCACTTATTCATAAAGAAATTAAATGATCTTACCTTAGAGGCACCTAGAAAGATTAGCTCAATGTGTGTGAAATAAAAATTAACTGGCTCTCAATTATTGCTAGGATGTGACACCAAAGCTAACAGAGACATTTGAAATTCATAGATATTCCAAAAACCCAATTTCATTCAATTATATGAACCTAATAAAGTAAACCAGATACAGGGAATTAAATCTGATTTTTTTTTTTTCTATTCCCAACTGACAAGTGTCAGGGAGTGGTGACAGCAGACAAGGGCAGGGGTAGCAGAAGGAGGGAGTGCAACGGCGCTCAGACTGCAGCTCTGAATCATGCAAAACTGACTTCCCGGGGCCGAGTCCTTACGAAAATTACCAGGACACAACTCTTATTCTCAGGGATGGTGAAAGCATCATGTTAGTGAATGACAGCACAGCTGAGCAGACATCGGAAACCACACATCAAGGATTCCACTCCTGAGAGCTCAATTGGGATTCAGGTCCTAGTAACCAAAACCTAGAGCAATCCTCAAGTGGACAAAAAGACACCAATTTTAAAAAAAAACCCATGAATTGTTATTGTTTTATTTATGGACCACTTTAAATCAAATTGCTTAATATTTTTAAATTCTTGATACCTTTTTTAAAAACGTTTATTTTCCCATGTCTATTCTTTCCCCAAAAATTAACAAAGTGCTTAGTTCTGGTAGAAGAATTTAAAAAAAAAAATGTAAATGCCTACATCTAAACAAATGATCTCTTTAAAAAGCTTTTAGATTAAGAGACTGAAAAGAGCGAGGCATCTAAGGCTGGAGAGAAGGAAAAGCTTTGGATCGCTGTCCTGTCCCCCAGGCCAAAAAATTCAGGGATGTCTCTTCTATTTGTAACCTCACCACGCTGAGCTTACTGAAATCAACTATGTTAAATATTTAGCTTCACAAACTCTGTAAAAATGAGCTGTTGTGACCTACAAAAAAAGTATATACATATTTTACATGATATAATATCTTAAAGGTCATATTTACAAAAGAAAATCTATTCACAGAAAGACTGCGAAATTCTGATTCAGAATGCAGTACCTGGCCTTGGGTTTTCTGCAGTTTATTTTCAAAAAGCGTTATTGCTCTACCATATAGGCAAACGGTGACACCAGTACTTTCAACAACAACAAAATCATAGTTCTTATCCAACAGATTAGACAAAAACCAGGAATGTGATTCACCATTCCTCAAGACCTCAAGAATATTGCATTTATCCACTATTTTTTAAATAAAGTGCACTCGGCGGCACGTTAGCATGTGAAAAGTTGCTACTGCTGCAATTAAATACTGTCATCTCATTTCCCCTTCTACAAGGCCATTTGACATCAAGGAGAATTCCTGGAGGTGAAGTATGACAAAACGTTAGGAGGAAATAAAAAGCCTAACTAAAGCCTAGGACAACCAAGAATAGGGTTGGAGCAACTCAACACTATCATTAAAAGAGAATTCAGAAATGCCAACCCTACGGAACAGAACTACCTGGCAGTGACAAAAACAAATGAAGGCTGGCACGTGCTCTTCCTCCAATACTGCAACTAGAGAAACCAGATGTTCCCATGTCTCCTGATTTCTCCAACGTCCTGTACTGAATAGCCAGGCAGACAGAAGGGCCAAAGGAGTGTTTTGTGATCAATAACACTCCGTTACCTCCAGAACCATCTCCCTAAGAAGCAGAATGCCAAAACTATTTGTTTTGAACACCATGAT